CTTAATCGACCTGGCAACTGCTGATTGGCTGCACGACAGGTCCCTGCTCGATTGCGCAGATCCGACCTCTCGCCGCTCGCTCTTATCTGACAACTGTGTAGTATAGTATATTATAGTTGTGTGCTGTAATGTTACAAAGTAGGTGCAGTATTGGTGTGGTCTTGGCAAAAGTGGCCAGCTCGCTTGGGTGGCCAGCTCGCTTGTGGAGTACGTTATTGTAAAGGCAATTAGAGACCTGCTAATAAGGTACGTTCAACACTCTAGCAGCGCTGTAGATACTGCGAGATTAGCTAGCATAGAAGGCCTAGATAGCAAGGATAACTTTGCCTTCTCTAGTAGTATTCTGAAGTTGTTGTTGTTAAGGCATGTTATGTTAGGGTAAAAGGTGGTTGTGCCAAGAGAAAGTGGCCGGTTTGGTGATATGGCCGGCTCGGTGATAATCTACGTTATATATATATTAACAGAGTAGATAAAGCAGTATCTTAAGTATCTACTTTGCACGTACGTGAGTTATGGTCAGTCTCTCTGCGCCTCCTGCAGCGCGCTAGAGCCTGGCGGCTAAGGCCTGATTGATCTCCTCCTTGACGCTGCTCGTGAGCAATCTGCTGGTCAGCCTCACGTTGAGCGAGTAGATCCTCTCCAGCTCCCTTTGTTAAGACCCCACTCTGCTGTATACGCTTTTTCTTACGCTGTTTGCGTGCTGACGCTGCCTCATTGGCTCTCTCAAGGCTGGTGATCCGATCACGCATTAGCTCAGCTGAGAGCATCATCACCTCAGCGCCCTTCTTAAGCTGATTAATTGCTTCAATAATTGAGGCAGGTGATGAGCTCTTGTGCCAGCGCACGCGATAACTTATCAACGCCGATTGAGCCTCAAGCTCGCGTACGTTGCTTGGTGTACGAGCCTCCCAGAGAGCCTCTGGCAGAGCAACTGGAGTAGGCGTACGCAGCTGCACATCAAGCTTTGATAGAACAACGTCTGCCTGGAGAGGAACAAGGCCTGCGCCTCTAAACGCTGAGCAGATATTGTCTGGCGTAAACAATTGTGTAAAGGCTGCCTTAAACGCTGGCAGAAACTCAAGCTTAGTGATGTGGTTGATGTGGTGGTGGATTAGGCTCTCAACCTCACAGCTGTACGCGCGCTTCAATGGCAAGAAGCAGCCAATATCAAGAGGCTGAAGTAGATGAGATGAGTGAGGCGGCATGCAGAGTGTGTAGATATTGTTCTCCTTGCAGAGCTCTTAAAACTCAAGAGAGTGGTGGCTCTCATGGCCATCAAGGACAAGCAGGCGACGCGCACCAACGACGCGAGTCTTTGTATAAGCGTTGAAGTGCTTTAGCCACTCTACTCCTAGCTTGTTATTTGTCCAGCCATTTTCGCTGACTGCGATCACCCAGTTGCGTGGGATCTCTGCTTCCTCGTACCAGGCAGATAGATGATACTGGCCAGCGAAGATGAGGAACGGTGGTACTGACCAGCCAGCAGCGTTGATTGCAGCGATCAACGTCACCCACTCGCGATTGCCTGGCTGAATAGCCTTTGGCCGCCCTCTCCTCTCTGACCCTGTCACGACAAGCTGAGTCGTGATCTTGCCTATTATAAAGCCTGCCCTGTCGAAGTTGTAGACGTCATCATCACAGATGCCGTACCTAGCCTTTGTCTGCTCTACAAGCTCAAACCACTGACTAATCAGGGCTGGATCCTCGCATAGAGCTCTCTGTCTATCGTACGCTCGATTGAAACACGTCGTGAGACTGTCTGTACGCTTGACAAAGGTAGATGGCCAGTTAACTCCTACGCGTCCTCCGCCGCGCGCAGCGAGCAGCTTATCAGCCATATCACGTACAGCTGCGTACGTAGGCGCAAATCCACGTTGGTATAGATCCAATATATGGCGGATAATCGCCTGCTCCTCTGACTCAGTGAGCTTCTTCGAGTTGGGCTGGCAATCGTGTTGGGCAGGTATACCAGCGCGTCGGCGGCGGATTGTTCGTTCAGACACGCTAAAGATAGTAGCAGCCCTGCGATTGCTCTGTATTTGATGGGAACTGATAGAGAAGATAGCAAGCTGAACGTCTGCTTCATTTGAAGCTAATAGAGTAGCGCTGCGTTGAGCCATTGTACGCTGAGATGAGAGAGGTGCGCAAGTTTGGTGGGGTGCGGCGCTCGCCCGTGTGCGGCGCTCGCCTGTGGAATACGTTAAGAATATTAAGCGTTTGTAGGAAAACCTTGTCTCTGTGTCTTTTTCAACCTTCCTGTTAACAATCAATAATCTCAAACAGCTCGTCTGACCCCCGGGCAGACATCGATCTATCAATGCAGATGCGCCAGCGCAATACCACTATATGCACTGTCGGTCTCATAGATCTTCTTCTTCTCGCTTCCATCTATGTTGAATCTGTACACCGTACCTCCGAGATCAGTAATATAGATATGCTGGTTCACAACATCGATCTTCAATCCAATAGCCTCATGGAAATGTCTCGCCAGTGTTTTGAACTGTCCGCCATCTCCGTTCCCCGCCCCTACGTAGGCAGAGTTCAGTGTGTTGCCGAGAGGGTACTCCCCACGATCGGTCCAGTACAGTGTCTGGCTTTCCTCTTCGAATTCTAGGTCGATAGGCTCAGGCAATTTATCGAACAACACCTCGATGTCCGATCGCGAGGATGCCGTCTCACCATTGGGCATATGCATGCTCGCACGTAAGATGCGACCCTGACCCCCCTTAGAAGTGCCCTTTTGGGTCCAGTAGAATTTTCCTGCTTTCACATCGACAGCAACACCGACACACCACTTTGTCTGATCTACAAGGTCGTTGGTTCTGTAGTCACCTGTCTGCAGGATGATCTCGTGATTGCTCCCATCGAAGTCGCAGCGGTGGACGCGCAAACCTTCACGGTCGCAGAAGTATAGTTTTCGATTCTCGTGATCGATTTTGATTTGCTTGGGCGTGTGTACGGCGCCTTCTGGGATGATGGTATGGACGTTTGTGCCGTCGAGGTTCGAGCACATGACGCTGCCATTGTTTGCAGAGGGCGAGGTACCCATGTTCGTCCAGAATAGCTTACCGGCGGAGATGGATACGTCGATGCCGTCGGGCATGGATTGGCCGCTTACGAGCGTGCGCACATTGCTGCCGTCAGCGGATGCCGTCACGATGCTACCAGAAGTGGTGGCTTTGGTCAGGTCGGTGACGTTACTACCCAGGCCGATGTCCAGGAAGTAGAGGCGTGGTGCGGCAAGATTGTCGTGGTGTCCGCTGCTGTCCTTTGAGCTCTTGGTTGTCTCGCCTGCAGGATACAGACCTCCTTTGCCGGACTTTGCGCCGAGTTTGCCTTGCTCGACGTAGTTCTTCTGGAGCCAATCTCGCGCTGTTGGTTCCAACTGACGTTCCTGAACATAGTTGTCTTCGATAAAAGCCACAGTGTCGAGACCGACTGCGTCCATCATGCCACAGGGTCCATTTGGATTATCCTTGAACATAGTCATGAACAATTTGTCGATCTCCTTGGGCTCTGACACTCCTTCCGCCAAGATCAACAAGCTTTCCCTCTTGATGGCCGCCCATAGCCGATTGAAGATGAAACCAGTCGACTCTTTGCGTGCGACAGCCGGAGTCATTCCAGCATCCTCAAGCTTAGACTTTAAAAACTCCAGGACCTTTGTATCGGTCTCTCCGCAGGTCATAAGCTCAACGACGTTGTTCCCAGGCGGCATGTAGTAATGCATGTTGCAGACGCGCAGGCATCGCTCCTGATCGACCTTATTCAACATGAGTCGGGACTTGTATGAAGACGAGTTCGATGCCAGTATGCAATCATGCGGTGAATTCTGATCAAGCTGACCCATCATTGAGATCTTGAGATCCAGTTTCTCTGGCAATGCCTCAACGACCAGCCATGCGTTCTTGACGGCTGACTCCATGCTATCGGTAGTGCTGAACTTTGCACGTTTGCGCTGGCATCCTGTGGCTTTCGCAAACTCTTCCTGGTTGTGTTCAATATATTCGGTTGCAGCGTTTCTTTGCTGCTCGTTGAGGTCGCACAGAATCGTTTCGTAGTTTGCAGCTATCCACGAGGCAGCAATGCGTCGACCGAGAACGCCTCCGCCTAGCACCACAATTGGTCGCGACGAAATGTCTGGTGAGTTCCATCGTCCTTGAGCAGGACTTGATGATTGCTGACTTTCAGTAGGTAAAGACATTGTGGTGAATACGATATATTAGGAACTCAATGGCCTGAAATTCCGAACTTCTTAAGTCTTGCAGTGATCTTGCATTTCACGGGACTGCCCAATTGCAACAGGCAGCTGTACCTCGTCTGAAATTCACCACCGTCATTGTTGCAACCAGCACTCTCGATTCTGGGACGCTTTAGTGGCCCCAACATATTCGCGATTGCGCATGTACTTACGAAGTATGATGTAATGGCCTCACCTTCGAGCCCTCGGCCCCTCCGATCGAAAGATTGACCAATCAAAACACACCTCGGTTCTCGGTGTCCATTTCAACTGCACAACAACACCGATTGGTGAGAATAACAACGAGTTGTCAAAGTTCGTGGATACAGAAGCTGTTGACTACATCGCCGACGGAATAGTAATCAGTCGATGAGCGGGCCTAGAGCAGCCTGGCGAGAGACGCGGGTTACAGAATCGGACTCAGCATGCGAATGTAGATTGCCTGTTCCGTTAAGCTGAAGCCTGAAAGTTTGCTATTGTGCAAGGCGGAGAGCGGGATAGGTTAAAGTGAAGCTGCGAGCAAGAAGGCACGAGGTGGGAGCCATGACGCAGAAGGCGCGAGGAACACAAATAACAAACACGGCAAGTCTTTCACTACCTAAGCTAAAAACGAGCAAGGTACTGCCAGAAAAGTGTTCCTAGACAGTCGATGCCGATATCCAATACAGTTGGAAAATCTTTGTAACGTGCTTTACTGTACAAGCGAGTGGCCCATACAAGCGAATGGCCCACCCTACCAACTTTCTGCGCCTCTATAAGCCTACAGCTCAACCACGTCTTAAGATAATAGATATGTATTAACAGGGTAGATTAAGCAGTATCTATAGTATCAAATTTACATGTACGTGAGTTATGACCAGGCTCCCTACACTTCTTACAGCGCGCAAGGGCCTGGCGGCTGAGGCCTAATTGCCCTCCTCCCTGACGCTCTTCATGAGAGATCTGCTGATTAGCCTCATGCTGAGCGAGTATATCCTCTCCAGACCCCTTTGTTAAGACCCCCTTCTTCTGCATGCGCTTCTTCTTACGCTGCTTTCGCTTTGACGCTGCCTTGTTAGCTCTCTCAAGGCTAGTAATCCGATCACGCATTAACTCAGCTGAGAGCATCATCACCTCAGCGCCCTTTTTAAGCTGATTAATTGCTTCAATAATTGAGGCAGGTGATGAGCTCTTGTGCCGGCGTACGCGATTACGTATCAACGTTGATTGGGCATCAAGCTCGCGTATGTTGCTTGGCGTACAAGCTTCCCAGGGAGCCTCTGGTAGAGCAGCAGGAGAAGGTGTACGCAGCTGCACATCAAGCTTTGATAGAACAACGTCTGCCTGGAGAGGAACAAGGCCTGTGCCTCTAAACGCTGAGCAGATATTGTCTGGCGTGAACGAAGGAGGCAAAGGAAAGGTGATGCACGAAAAATTGATCTAGACGGGACAGCAGCGATGATTCTTGCATTTGCTTGTTGATCTATCTAGCCTTCAATACCGTGATGTAGGTGATTTGCCTTGATTACATCGACATCACTGTGATGATCACTGGAAGGTAAAGATCTCATCCTGCGGTTTGGAGATCTTGCCTGCAAAGTTACGTCAGCACCGCAGCTAGACAACTGACCTTTGAAAACTTGGACGTACCTGGTGGTTTGAAACCTCTTTCTTGCAACATCTTTACCATGCTTTCCATCATGAGATCAGGTCCACAGACGAGCACCTTTGAGTCCATACCTGCGGGCGCCGGCAGGAACTCTTCAATCAGCTCCCTGTTGACGCGTCCTTTTCCCCCTTGCCAGCCTTCAGCAGGACTGCTGAGCACATAGTATACCTTGAACTGATCGTACTTATCAGCAAACTTGTCCAGTTCTTCCTTCAATAAAATGTCACCCTCGGTCTTATTAGCGTAGAGAAGCGTAGTCTTGGTATCGTCTCGTGGGTCTTCGCAGATGCGACGAATGATTTGGAACATAGGCGTAATACCGGTTCCGCCTGCGATCATGCCAAGCTCTTTTACCAAATTCTTATGATACTTCATCTCCCCCTTCGGCCCTCTGATCTCAACCTTGTCCCCGATATTGAGACTGCTCAGGTATGGTGTCAGCTTGCCTCCCTCATAGATCTTGATGGTCAGCTCCAAGCGGCCCGTGTCCTTGTTGCTAGAAGTAGGCGTGTATGACCGAGCGATTTGCTTCCCATCAACCTCATGTCTGATCGCAATGTGCTGCCCTGTCGGCAGCCCCAATACAGAGTTTGCATTTGGAAGACTGAATACGAAGCGGATGGTGTCGTGAGAAATGTTGAACTTTTCCTTCAACGGGAACTCCTGATATTCGCGAGCATTGAGAACCCCAAGGTTGATGTCCTTCTTCTTAGAAACTTTAGCGGATGTAGATTTGGCTTTGATATACGCTGGATACGACTGGAAGTCCCTGTGTGCCACGTTGAGGTTCTTCGCGGCCCACAGACTGGTGTACGCCGCCAAAGCCAGACTGGCAAGCGTAGACAATGCGAACCCCTTCCAAAACCCACTCGTCTGGAAGCGGTGCAAGACGGAAGAGTATTGGCGGCCGAGGAGGATGGCCGCAATGAGGGATCCAAGACCGCCCGCTACTACAGGCAAGTGCAAGTCATGTGACTTCGGTGGAGGTAGGTTGTTGACGACATGGACATTTCGAGGTTTAATTTCCGGCATCTTCTTCGTTTCATGGTCCACCCAGTCGTCATCCGTGACCATTCCGATGCGAAAATTCTCCAATATTTCTCTTGCGTCAGTCGAGTGGCCGATGTCTTCGTATGCGGTTGTTGCGTCTGTGCCTGCATTCTCGAGTAGGTACTCCTTCCCCCCGGGATGGTCTTCCTGGTAATCGGTCACATCGTAAACGTGATTCCACACAACGATCCAGATGTCGGTCTTCGAGGTATGCTTGCCCACCTCCTCGAGGCTGTATACTTTGTCTGCCATGGTCTCCCGAGGTGAGAAGCGAGGGATATATGGGACGGTGGTAGCAGTGTGAACGAGATGATGACAGTTGCAAAATCTGTGCTCAGGGTCTCTGTTATAGGACTACTTAATCATACCTAGGCACAGGCCAGGTAGATACGCAGTGCGCACCGAACTTTCGTACGATGCGTGTGAGTATGTCGTTTTACCATGCCTAGTGCAACGCGAAACGCAATCCAATGACGACAATTGACTTGATGCGCATTGGGCGGATGTTCTTCCGGCGGCGATCTAAGCCAAGCAGCCAATGTCGCTCTGCGGGAGTAGCCGTCTGAGGTTGCGCTAATTCCCAAACCGTTTATTACTCCGCTGTTTGCGACGAAACTTTAGTCATTGTTGTCGGCCGAATTCGATGACGTCTGTTTGACAAATTCTTGCAAACGTTAGCAGGTTGCACAGGTAGACTATGCTGTGCTCGCTTCTGAACATCGAACAACTCTGCCGAGGTTAAATTACATCACCTTTGCATGCTCAGTCCATAAGACACGCAAAAGAAGATCGTCTTGACTAACTGAAAAGTGTTGCACTGTGAACTCTCAATTTTTGTTGCCTTGCTCCAGCTGCACATATCCGTTCCATCATGACCATCAAAGGCTTTTACTTGGTTGGCCAAAATACGGATCTGTACCACCAAGAGATCCATATTGACCAGTACCATGATTTCGAAGCTTTGCAGGTAGCCATCGCTGAACAGTACAATATCATACTGCCAGCCAGCATTGGACTACAGGACTCGAAAGGGAACGCTTTATCTGACCTTGATGCAGTCTTAGACACCGACGAAGACCTCGGCATCACAGTCGACGGGCAGCCCATCCGAGACCCTTCAGGGCCTGAAGGACTTCCATTCCTGGGAAGCTACTATGAAGTCTTCCCTGACCATCTCGGGAACCATGCTCGTCTCTTCCAGAAGTATGGCTCCCTCATAAAGTACGAGACCATGGGAAAACATAACTACCTAACGAATGACCCGGCTATCGCGACCGTTGCATTCCAGGAATCCGCTTTCTTCAGCAAGAAGATAACGTCAGAACATCCCTTAAACGGCATAAAGGACAACCGCGCTCTGTTCATCGGCGATACAGACACGGACGCCTGGCGCGCAGCACACAAATTCATCCCGCCAGCAATGTCACCCAAAGCGGTGCGGCACTATACGCCGTTGATGGAAGCCAGTGTCAAAGACTCGTTCAGGGTCTTTGACAAGCTGGACGAACAGGATGAGGCATGGAACGTATACCAATACATGCTGAAGCTCGCCTCACAAACTGTGTTCAAGTTTGCGCTGGGTTACGATGCACACCACTTCGATAATCCGGATTCCAGCTTGAATGAATTGGTAGTCTTGATTGCGCAGAGCTTGAGCCTGAACAAGAAGGTCGCAAGCAGGGGTAGCTGGTATGCGAGTCTGGGTTGGATGCCGGGTACAGCAGCGTACGAATTGAGCAATATCCAGGGAAGATTATGGCGGATTCTGAATGAAGGTATGTCCATATGCCAATTCGAGTGAGCCACAGATCAGGATATTGACTGGATTAGCGATCGACAAAGCACCAAAAGGAGATACCGATGAAGACTTACCACTGCAGTCTGCCGCGCTAGGTGCAAGCTGTGTCGTTGACTACCTAAAGCGCGCGACGGACGACCATGGGAACAAACTGCCGCGTGAGCTTGTTGTAAGTGTCGCCAACTCCTGACTCCCTGAGATGCGTTGCTGATCATTTGTTAGATCCCCAATATGCTGCCAATCTCAGGCGCAGGCTTCACCACAACATCCTCCCTCCTGTCTTGGTTGATATACAGCTTGTGCGTCTACGAAGGCAACCAAGACCGCCTCGTGCAGGAACTTGTCGATGCTGGCGTCAATGCGAATACCAAATGGACTCCCGAGCTCTCTGACGGCCTCACCTTCCTCGACAAATTCGTTAAAGAGACCCAGCGTCTCCATAACCCTTCTTTCCAACCAGGTCGTACTGCGAAAGTGGATTGTATCGTGCCTGGGGGCTACAAGCTCCCCGCGGGTTCCGTCGTGATTTGCGCTCTCCACGCTATTCACAACAACCCAGCTATCTGGTCAAATCCCGACCGCTTCGACCCTGATCGTTGGGGATCTGAAGAAGTGTCAAACCGCCCCAAAAACAGCTATATGCCGTTTGCTACCGGGCCGAGAAGCTGTATCGGATTCAATTTCGCGCTTGGGGAAGTAAAAGTGTTGCTACCGGAACTGGTGTATCGGTATGAGTTCAGCAAAGAAGGAGAAGAGGCAGTGACGTATGATCCGGAGTTTCAGCTCATCAGACCGATGAACCTTTATGTTCGGGCGAGAAAGAGGACGACCTGGCCTGGAAAGAGTAAGGACGCGAAGAAGATCGCAGAAGAGTACGCTGAGGGCGAGAACTTGAAGAATTCAGCCAAGTTTTAGAGCCTGAGCCGTAACAGCGCGCAAGACATCTCATGTAGTTCTGCCACTAACGCACCTCACGGGCGAGTCGCTCACCTGGGCGTCCTGCTTACTCCACAGCCTCTACAGGGTCTTTAAGCGCACTTGCCTGCGACAGCATGCACGTTTTTCCTTGCCTTCTTTCTATTGCTGCGTACTTAAAATTCCATTAGAGTTGTTAGCTATTCGCCTTTCTAAATTGTTAAGGCAACTTCCTTTTTTTTATGCTTTTTTCGTAACATGGTTGGCAAGCGAGTCGGTCAGACAAGCGAGTCGGTCACCCCACCAACTTTGATCACCTACTCTATCTTAACACACAATGCCTCCACGCCGCGCTCTGCTCATGCAGTTAAATGAAGCAGATATTCAGCTTGCTCTCTTATCTATAGATTCTGCCTAAATTCAGAGTACGCGACGCGCTGCTACAGTCTTTAATATCCCAAAATTAACCCTAATTGACTGGCGCGCTAGAAAGCGCGCGCGACGCAATTGCCAGCCTAACTTAAGGAAGCTTACCCAGAGAGAAGAGGAGGTGATTGTCAGCTATATACTTCACCTAGATCAGCGTGGATTTGCGCCTACCTACGCAGCTGCACGTGATATGGCTGATAAGCTGCTGGCTGCACGCGGCGCTGGCCAGGTTGGGCAGAAGTGGCCAGCTAACTTTGTCAAGCGTACAGACAGTCTTCAGACGTGTTTTAACCGAGCGTACGATAGGCAGCGAGCTCTGTGTGAGGATGCAACATTAATAAAGAGGTGGTTTAAGCTTATAGAAGAGACAAAGGCTAAGCAGGGTATCTGTGATGAGGACGTCTATAACTTTGATGAAGCTAGCTTTATGATAGGCAAGATTACAACACAGCTGGTTATAACAGGAGCAGAGAGGAGAGGCAGGCCAAAGACTCTTCAGCCAGGCAATCGCGAGTGGGTAACGCTGATCGCTGCTATCAGCGCTGCTGGCTGGTCAGTGCCACCATTCCTCATCTTCGCTGGTCAGTACCACCTATCAGCCTGGTATGAGGAGGATATCCCACGCGACTAGGCAATCGCAGTTAGCGACAATGGCTGGATGAATAATGAGCTTAGAGTTGAGTGGCTAAAGCACTTCAACGCTCACACGCAGGCTCGTAGTATAGGCGCGCGTCGCCTGCTTATTATTGATGGCTATAAGAGCCACCAATCTCTAGCGTTCCAGGAGCTCTGCAAGGAGAACAACATCTACACGCTCTGTATGCCACCTCACTTATCTTACCTACTCCAGCCGCTTGATGTTGGCTGCTTCTCGCCATTAAAGCGCGCGTACAGCTGTGAGGTGGAGAGCCTTATGCGCAACCACATCAACCACATCACCAAGCTTGAGTTTCTGCCAGCGTTCAAGGCAGCGTTTGATCAAGCGTTCACGCCAG